GGCTGCGCTGGAGCAGGCGCTGCGACGGCCGCTCCCAGCAGAGCCCATACCGCAGCCTCCGCTGCCGCAGCCAGGGGCGACGGAGGAGCCGGCCGCTGCGCCCCAAGAGGCTCGGCGCGGGGCGGGCGGGACGACGAAGGTGCGCGCGAACCCGATTCTCATAATCCTCGTCATCCTCCTCCGCCTCCTCCATCTCCACCCCCTGCCTCCTCTCTCCTCTTCCTCCACCTCCTCGTCCTCCTCCCTCCTCCACCTCCTCCTGATACACCTCCGCATCTTCTCCTCGTCTTCCGAGGATTGAATCGGCAGGAATACGTAGCACCCCGCAGATGCGGATAAGAGGGAGGGGGCGGGGGGGGCGTCGGCAGTCTGCGAGACTCTGGATAACCCCGCCGCAGGTGCCAAAGTTTCACAAATTGTGCAACGAGCCCGCCGCAGGCGCCGGTTTTCTCGTTAAACCAATGTGGGTAGGTCACGGGTGGGTCGCGGGTGCGTCGCAAATGTGCCGCGGCTGGGTCGCGGGTGGGTCGCTGTTGGGCCGTCGCGGGTGGGTCGCGGGTGGGTGGGTTGGGTGGGTCGCGGGTGGGTCGCGGTGGGTCGCGGGTGGGCGGGTGGGTCGGGCGTGGGTCGCGGGTGGGTCGCGGGGTGGGTTCGCGGGTGGGTCGAGTGGGTCACGGGGGGTCGTGGGGTGGGTCGCGGTGGGTCGCGGGTGGGTCGCGGGGTGGGTCGCGGGTGGGTCGCGGGGTGGGTCGCGGGCTGGGTCGCGGGATGGGTCGCGGGGGGGTCAGGGGTGGGTCGCGGGTGGGTCGCGGCTTGGGTCGCGGGTGGGTCGCGGGGTGGGTCACGGGTGGGTCGCGGGTGGGTCGCGGGGTGGGTCGCGCGGTTTGGGTCGCGGATGGGTCGCGGGGGTGGGTCACGGGGGTCGCGGGGTGGGTCGCGGGGTGGGTCGCGGGATGGGTCGCGGGGTGGGTCGCGGTAGGTCGCGATGAGGGTCACGGTGGGTCGTGGGGGTGGGTCGCGGGTTGGGTCGCAGTGGGTCGCGGGTGGGTCGCGGGGGGTGGGTGGGTCGCGGGATGGGTCGCGGGGTGGGTCGCGGTGTGGGTCGCGGGTGGGTCGCGGCTTGGGCCGCGGGATGGGTCGCGGGGTGGGTCACGGGATGGGTCGCGGGGTGGGTCGCGGGTGGGTCGCGGCTTGGGTCGCGGGATGGGTCGCGGGGTGGATCGCGGGTGGGTCGCAGGGTGGGTCGCGGGTGGGTCGCGGGGTGGGTCGCGGGGTTGGTCGCGGGTTGGGTCGCGGGGTGGGTCGCGGGGTGGGTCGCGTGTGGGTTGCGGGTGGGACGACGGCAACAAACAATTACAGCAACAACCACAGCAGCAACAGCAAACCAACAACAACAACAATAACAACAACGGCATCATTTCCACCACCAACAACGACAACAACACCAACAACCACCATCACCACCACCACCACCACCACAACCACAACCACAACCACAACCATAACAACACCAACAACAACACCAACAACAACGCAACAAGCACAATCCTCACCACGGACCCCCACTTTAGCCACGCACCCAGGGACAATGAATGACCATTCGGCCCCCTCGTTCTGATACAACGAGCCCGCCGCAGGCGCCGATCTTTTTCCCAACCCTCCTGCGTTGGGTTCTCGTTTTGAATAGGGCACTGCTCGCGCGTCTCCTTGCCTCCTTCCCCCCCCCCTCTCTTCTCCCTTGCCTTTTGCCTCGCTCGTCGCCATCCCTGGGGGGCTGCGATGTGTGAAACTGTCGCCACTTTCGAGGCCTGCTGGGGGGCCCAGCACAGTGGGTACTCACCGCGGATTCAAATTAGACCTCCCCATCCCTGGGGGGCTGCGATCTGTGAAACTGTCGCCACTTTCGAGGCCTGCTGGGGGGCCCAGCACAGTGGGTACTCACCGCGGACTCAAATTAGACCTCGCCATCCCTGGGGGGCTGCGATGTGTGAAACTGTCGCCACTTTCGAGGCCTGCTGGGGGGCCCAGCACAGTGGGTACTCACCGCGGATTCAAATTAGACCTCGCCATCCCTGGGGGGCTGCGATCTGTGAAACTGTCGCCACTTTCGAGGCCTGCTGGGGGGCCCAGCACAGTGGGTACTCACCGCGGTTCAAATTAGACCTCGCCATCCCTGGGGGGCTGCGATCTGTGAAACTGTCGCCACTTTCGAGGCCTGCTGGGGGGCCCAGCACAGTGGGTACCCACCGCGGATTCAAATTAGACCTCGCCATCCCTGGGGGGCTGCGATCTGTGAAACTGTCGCCACTTTCGAGGCCTGCTGGGGGGCCCAGCACAGTCAAATTAGACCTCGCCATCCCTGGGGGGCTGCGATCTGTGAAACTGTCGCCACTTTCGAGGCCTGCTGGGGGGCCCAGCACAGTGGGCCACCGCGGATTCAAATTAGACCTCGCCATCCCTGGGGGGCTGCGATCTGTGAAACTGTCGCCACTTTCGAGGCCTGCTGGGGGGCCCAGCACAGTGGGCCACCGCGGATTCAAATTAGACCTCGCCATCCCTGGGGGGCTGCGATCTGTGAAACTGTCGCCACTTTCGAGGCCTGCTGGGGGGCCCAGCACAGTGGGTACCCACCGCGGATTCAAATTAGACCTCGCCATCCCTGGGGGGCTGCGATCTGTGAAACTGTCGCCACTTTCGAGGCCTGCTGGGGGGCCCAGCACAGTGGGTACCACCGCGGATTCAAATTAGACCTCGCCATCCCTGGGGGGCTGCGATCTGTGAAACTGTCGCCACTTTCGAGGCCTGCTGGGGGGCCCAGCACAGTCCGACCTCGCCATTCGAAACTGTCGTGCTGCTGGGGGGCCCAGCACAGTGGGTTCACCTCGCCATCCCTGGGGGGCTGCGATCTGTGAAACTGTCGCCACTTTCGAGGGCTGCTGGGGGGCCCAGCACAGTGGGCCACCGCAGATTCAAATTAGACCTCGCCATCCCTGGGGGGCTGCGATCTGTGAAACTGTCGCCACTTTCGAGGGCTGCTGAGGGGCCCAGCACAGTGGGCTTCCCGCACGTCTTTCTCCTGCTCTTCGTTCCCGACTCCCCATGTCCTCTTCGAGCCTGTAGCTGTCGCCCCTCTTTCTTGTATGGTTCTCCTGCGCATCATGCCATAGGCGCGTGTCCCAAGTAGCTTACATATCAAACAACGGATCCTGCAATTTCATTGTCCATGCAAGTTTCGGCCAAGTCCTCGTTTCCCATGATACAAATGGGTTGGGTACGTCGCAGGGTAATTCGGTAAACCAATGTGGTTAGGTCGTGGGTGGGTCGCTGGTGGGTCGCGGGTGGGTCGCGGGTGGGTCGCGGATGGGTCGCGGGTGGGTCGCGGGTGGGTCGCGGGTTGGGTCGCGGCGGGTGGGTCGCGGGAGGGGCCGCGGGTGGGTCGCAAGTGGGTCGCGGGTGGGTCGCGGGTGGGTCGCGGGTATGTCGCGGGGTGGGTCGCGGGGTGGGTCGCGGAGTGGGTCGCGGGTGGGTCGCGGGTGGGTCGCGGGTGCGTCGCGGGTGGGTCGCGGGGTGGGTCGTGGGTGGGTCGCGGCTTGGGTCGCGGGATGGTCGCGATGTGTGTCGCTGGGTGGGTGGTCTGGTCGGTCGCGGGGTGGGTCGCGGGGTGGGTCGCGGGTGGGACGACGACAACAAACAACAACAGCAACAACACCACAACGACGACGACGACGACGACAACAACACCAACAACACCACCAACAACACCAACAACAACAACGACAGCAGCAGCAACAACACCAACACCACCAGCAACAACAATACCAACAACACCAACTACAAGTACAACTACAACTACAACAACAACACCAACAGCAACAACCACAACAACAACAACACCAGCAACAATAACAACACCAACAAGAACCGCAACATCACCACTAGCAACAACAACATCAACAACCAACACCAAAGACAACAACAAGGCAACAACCGTAATTTTCACCACGGATCCCCACTTTTGCCACGCACCCAGGGACCATGAATGACCGTTCGGCCCCCTCGCTCTGATGAGACCCCCTGCCCCCACCCCTCTGGGTGTTCCTGGTCGGGGGTCCCCACTGCGATCTGGGTCGTCCGCCCTTGGGCGGTTCTGTCGAAGCTCGGGAGGCACGTGCGAACGTCGCTCTCGCTGCGGCCGCGTGCCTTCTTGCCCGGTCTCCGCAGTGGATTGGCAGTTGGTGTCCGCGCGCGTGTCCACGTCCACCATTTTGGTGCTGCACCTCGACCAGTGACTCCGCTTGTTCCACCGCTTGAGCCGCAGCGTAGCTCGCTCCTGTGCGCTCTTGTGCGGAATTTAGCCCGCGGCTCGTTGGCTGCGTTTCTTGACGGCGCCTGGCATTCCTGCGCGCTCGCGAACGAAAAGTGGCCACGCCTCAATTTGAGGCTTGGACGTGCGCGCGGACACCAAAGAACTTCATGCTCTGAGCCTGCTCTCCGCCGCCCGCGGCGTCCTTCCCCCCCCTTCGCGCCCCTCCTGCTCCCGCTGTGCCGCATGCTGTGCCGCATGCGGCCCCGCACTGCCCCTCGGGCTCCTCGACCGCGGCTTGGGCCAAAGTCGCCGCGATCGAAGAGGGTGCGGCACGAACGCCTGGGGGCTGGTAGCGCTTCGGGCTGCGTGTGGGCGGCCGCCCCCGGGACGTCCTGGCTGGCCACAGCAGGCCCCCCGAGAAGTCCTGGCTGGCCTCGACGGGCCCTTGATTGGTCTTGAGCGGTCTCAACACTCCGGCGGTGCCCCTGGGGCGCACCGGTCCATTCGGGGGGCCTGTTGAGGTCAGCTGGGACCATTCACGGGGCCAGTTGGGACCAGCTGGAACGATCTGGGGGGAGGTTGTCCCTGCGCAGCCTGAAGCCTTACCACGTGGACGCGCGTGCGGACACAAACGCCTGTGGGCCGCCCTAACATATCCCCGCCCCGCTCCTGCGCCCCGCTCACGCGTGGGCTAGCCCATCGGCTGGGGTGCTCGCTGTCCTCCCCGTCGCAACGCGCAGGAAGGCCAGGGGCCCCGTATCCGAGGCGGGGATTTATCCATAACCTCCGCCTGGGGGGTCGATTTCCAGGGACCTCGGCAGGCGGTGGATATGGATGTGTTCGGGCCCCCTGGGGCCAAGAAGTATCCATATCCGCCGCTCGCTGGGGTACCAGGACGTCGGTTCTCGGGCGGTGGGCATGGGGAAATCCCTGCGTTGCACCGTAGCCCGCGGCGTCGGCTTCCGCGCCGCACCTGGCACGCCGCTGCAATGTGGCTCCCGCGGAGGCGGTCCAGCGGGGTGCCTTTGACAATCTTGGCCCGTGGAGGCCCCAGGGCCGTCAGAGGACGAGCAAGGACGGCCATGGCCCTTAGAGGGCGCCGTTGTTTCGATATCCCGGCTGATCCATCAGTGCTTCAAGCCACAGCGCGGCAGAGTTCAGCACATTGTTTGACTTCCCATTTCTGTGTAGAGGCCTGTCATAGTGCGGCTAGAGGCGTCCGAAAGAAAGAAGAAGAAAGAAACACAAAGCGTGAAAAGGCGGCTCCTGCGAAGGGGGTTCTGACCTCTGGGGAGCCGCGCTGCGGAAAAGTCACGACGTCGGACGTCCGGGTGCAAGCAGGACTCGCTGTCGGTGCCGCCGCGGGCGTGGCGCACCCGAGGCAGCGCGCCCCTTGCCCAGCCGCGGCCGCTGTCCGCTCTGGACAGCGCTTGCTGCTGGGCATCGGTGCAGTCGAGGCTGATTCGGAGGTCGACGCTGCCAAGTCCAGGGTGCCCTCGTGTCCTGTGTTTCGCGACCCGTGCCTCCTGCACTCCTGCGGCAAGGTGGCCTTCGGAAGGGTCCCCCGTGCCCTCGCCCGTGCTCTCTCCAGGCAACGCCGGCTATGCCCGTGCCAGGCCGGGCAGTACTGGCCTTGGCATCGCTCGGACGTGCGCCTTTTTTCTCGGCGAGGACCATCGAGGATCATCCTGGACCATCGAGCAAAAAAAAACACGCACGAAACCGAAACATGCACGGGAAGTGGACGTCCCAGCGACGGCAATGCTGGCCGCGCGCGGCGCGAGGGGGCGGCCATTCTGGGAAGGCGGGCGGACCTCCTCAGAGGGCACGGGCTTAGTTGCCTCGATACGCCCGTTTTGAAACGCAACACGTCCCGTGTTCAAGGCGTCCGTGTTCATACGTTGCGTTATGGCTCCGCGTATCGGACCACGTGTTGGCGAATGTTTCGCGTCGGACCTACGTTTTCAGCCTACGTGTTGAGCTCCGTATCAATACGATACGTGTTGCGTGTTGCGTGTTGCGTATCGGGGCAGCTCAGGGCACGGGGCGTCGTAGTGAGGCGGTGCCTCTGCTTCTGGGAGGGGCGTGCGCAGAAGCCCGCGGGCCCCTCCGAGAGGGCCACTCGCCTCCGAGAGGGGCGGCCTTCTATAGTCAGGAGAGGAAAAAAATACAGACACAATTAATCATCGATTCCCCTGAAAATATAGGAAAATATGGGAAGTGGGGGGGAAGACAAAAAAACCCAAAATATATGAAGATTTGGGGAATCCTTTTATTTGTGTGTATTTCTTTGTGTGTCCCTGGGCCCCTTGATGTAGGAAGGCGTGCGGATCTTCCCAGGAGGCACGGGGCTTCGCAGACGACGTCTCTGCTTCGGGGGAGGCCTCCGCAGAAGCCTGCGGGCGCCCCTCTGAGCAGACCCCTCGCTTCCGCGCGGTCCCCCCCCCGCCTTCTTAGGAGGCCATCTCCCTCGTGGGGGGGCGGCGCCAGGGGGGCGGAGAGGAACCCAGCCCTGCTTCCGATCTGCAGAAGGCAGAGGTCGGTGCACTCAACACAGTGCCTGGCCAGGGCCATCCTGGGCCCCAGGGTAGTCACTCCTGGCATCGGCCCAGGGGGCGTATGCACCGGGGCAGGAGCCAAGTTGGTCTTGGCCAGGCGTGGTGGTTGTGCACACCGATGCCCCCTGCGTGTCCAGCACTTTTCAGAGGCTTCCGAGCTCTCCGTAGAAGCCCCCTTTCTTCTCTTCCGGGCGGATGCCAGGAGCGATTGGGACAGGGGGCGGTTGCAGCTGGTTCCGGATGCCAGGAGCGGCTGGGACAGGGGGCGGGTGAAGCCAGGGCCCCGTTCCAGAAATGCGTGCGCCCGATCGACCCCGCCGCGGGCAACCAAGCCCGCCAAGATGGTCCAGTGTGCTTCCACAGGACGGCCCAGGATGGCCACACTATGCCAGGACGCAGATTGGCCCGGGCCAGGCACGGTTGTGGTGGCGTGCCCGCAGCAGGCACGCAGAGCGAGAAACCGGCCTTCCAACGGGTGCCCCACGACAATTCTTGATCTCCTGATGAGCGCGGAGCCCTGGGGGACCTTGCGAGGCCCAGGGACGACGAAGGATGCGCCCCTGGACGTATGATGTGAAGATCTCGTGTCCTGGGTGCCTAAGCAGGATGCTGATTCAGAACTTACCAGGGCTCGTGTGCACGCGGTGGTGCCGAGGATGATGATTAGAACAACGGGTTCCCGTCCGGGAAGCTACTTTTTGATCGCTCCCTCCCGCCCTCCTCGAGCGCGCGCCTGGACAGTCGACGGGCCAGACGGAGCCGAAGCGAAGCGGCAGCCGCAGATTCGGAAGTTGTTTTGTCAATCGTTCCCCGCGCATTCTTTTGTTCACCGTCATCTTTCAAACTACTCTAGCTGCCTTTTACGTGCCCAGCCCCGTGTGCGCGCCGGCGACGCCGGCGCAGGCGTTCCAGGCTGAATGCTGCGACGCGGACGCACCGAGGGACACGGTGAAACGCCACTGGACACGACGGCATTCAGCCCTGAACGATCGGGGCCGCGACCGATTCAAGGCTTAACGATCCACGCGGTGTCAAAAACCTGTGCGCGCGCCGACGCCGCACCAGCCCACCGCAGGTGCCTTTTGCGGGCCCAGTCCCCCGTGTGTGCGCCTCCTCCTCCTCCTCCTCCTCCTCCTGCTCCTCCTCCTCCTGCTCCTCTTTCTCCTCCTGCTCCTCCTCCTCCTCCTTCTCCTGCGAGAGGCGGCGCTGTTCGTGCTCACACGCGCGGCCGCCCCGAGGGCGCCCGGCTCGCTCCCGCTGCAGCGGGGCCTCGCGGACTCGCCCTGGGGCGCCCCGGCGCGCGGCAGGCAGCCGGTGGGGAAACGCAGCGCACCGAGGGACACCGAGGGACATGTGAAAACACGAGTCGTGCGTTCGGTAATGGGGGGGCGATGAATGGGGGGCGTCGAGGGTTGCACGAAAGGGGCCCTAGATGGGCCCTAAACGAGCCCCCTAGGGCCCCGAAGGGGTACGAAAGGTGCACGAAAAGTGCATCTTCCTACCCCCCCCCTCTATTGCCCCCGCATTAGTGAACGCCCGAACGAGTGAAGCGTTCTTCCCGCGCGAAGCCCACGCGCGTCACAGCTCCTGGGACACGTCAAAACCACCTATGGGACCTGCTCCGATGGCCTCGAATGGCCGCTCCGCTCGGGACGGCCTCGACAGAGCGGGGAACAGGAGCAGAAGCACGGGCCCAGGGACCGTCCAACATCGATTCAGGAGGAGCGGGTCCTGGGGGAAGGCCCCAGGTGCCAGGCCCCGCTGCTCCTGGGACCCGTTTGCTTCCTGCCGGTCCGAGGGGGCGTGCGCGCCAGCAGCCCAGCTCGAGGGAAGAATCACGGGGGCTATGGCCAAGGTGCCGCGGGATCTTGTCGATGCCGACCTCGGTCCATTTGTCCATGTCGGCCATCGCCGATGCGCAAGGATGGTCTACGAATTGGCGCTGACCAAGATCGACGACGACCAAGATGGGCACGGCGTTTCCGCGTTCGGTCTTTGTCATGGTCCCCGTTTTCTTCCCCTCCAGCACAGACGTACAGCCAAGACGCTGGAATGAGGACTGGTTTGGGTTTGGGCTCACGTCGGTGCTCAGCACAACCATACATCGTCGGAGGGGATTTCGCAAACCCAGTGCCGGCCGATGTGGGCTATCTTGGGAGGCCCCCGTCGCCACGGCTGGATTCGCCTCGGAGTCGGGTTTGGCGAGTAGCGGTATCAGCATCTTTTGGTTTCCACTGGTGTCGGACTCGGCAAGAGCATGCCGTCCAGACGCTGGAATCAGGGCCACTTCGGGCTCAGCAGGGGCTCCGGGCCGTTGCTCAAATATTGGCCAGGGGGACCTGTTCGTAGCCGAGGCTCGCCGTGGCCAGAAGATCCTTCTCGTTTTTGACTGAGCGTTCCTACTGGTAGCACGCTGGTTGTTTCGGAGGCCCGCGCTGATTGCTCGGGTCGACGCTGCGACGACACAATGACATATAGACTTGCTTTTCATGAGCTAGGCAGCCTGTCAGGCTCTGCAGTTTCCGTGGTGCGAGCTTCACTGGGGGTGTGCGGATGCTGCGTTCGATGTGGTAGAAACATAGCAGATTTCTCGAGTCGGCGCTGGAGACACCGCTGCTCTGTGGCGGGCGGAGCGCCAGGGGCGGTGCCAGGGGCGGCGTCAGGGGAGTCCCAGGAAATTCGCGCGGACCTTCGAAAACACATGGTTGTGACGTTGTTTGCTCCTCTGAGTAGGGAGGAGGGCGGAAGAGGTGGATGAGGGCGGGAGAGGAGGAGGAGGAGGAGGAGGAGGAGGAGGAGGAGGAGGAGGAGGAGGAGGAGGAGGAGGAAACAGAGGAGGAGGAGGAGGAGGAGGAGGAGGAGGAGGAGGAGGAGGAGGAGGAAACAGAGGAGGAGGAGGAGGAGGAGGAGGAGGAGGAGGAGGAAGCAGGAAGGTCTCCTGGGGGGTGCCTGCAAAGATCCTCGACGAAGCCGGATTGTCCAAGCAGGAACGCCGCCACCGAAGAGGCGACATTCCGGATTTCCTCAGCTGCCCCAGCACCCACGCAGCGCAGTGCGAAGATATGGCTGTTGATAGGGAAGATTGCGGATTACGTTTCTTGTTTATATTCGATTGCCAGCCTTGACAGCACATCGCCATGGGACAAGTGCTTCTGAGGGACGATGCAGCTGATCACATAGTCAGTGGTATCTGCAACCAGTGTGATGGACCCCTCCTCATGTCCACCACGACCCCGTCGTATGGCGGACGCGAGATTACAATGTCGTAGCTGATTCAGTCGCTAAATATATAAATATACAATGGGCTCAAGAGCGTCATGGCTTAAACGCTTCGAATTCCCTTTCCCCAGTGGGCATCTTGCGGACTGTAGTGTTGTTGCGCAGGAAGTACCCGCGCGGGCTCGTGTTCGGATATGGGTTGGGTGGTAGAGTCCGGGCGATGGAATGGTACAGCTTGTGAGTTTCACCCGACAGCGATGGCGGAAACGTTTATCCAGATTCCAATTTCATCATTCTTGGCTGAAGCTTTGGCGCTCGAAGAGTTCTCACGCTATTTGTATCAAGGCTGGTCGCCCCACTCGTCCCCCATCAGTGGCTAGATTTGCGATTCTCACATTTGCACCTGAGTCATGTTTCGGCCGACACTGTGCGTGACTCAGGCTCGGGAAGGAGGGAGGAGTGAGGAGGGAGGTCGGTCGGACGCAGGCTGGGACGCTGGGTCGTGCTCTGTCTGTCTCTAAGGGTGAGGAGGGAGGAGGGAGGAGGGAGGAGGGAGGAGGAGAGGTGGAGGAGGAGGCGGTGGAGGAGGGAGGAGGGAGGAGGGCGGAGGTCGGAGGTCGGTTGGAGGAGGGAGGAGAGAGGAGGGAGGAAGAAGGTTTGAGGAGGAGGAGAGAGGAGGAGGGGGGAGTTGAAGGAGGGCGGAGGAGAAGGGGGGAGGGAGGGAGGGGAGGAGGAGGCGGGAGGAGGGAGAGGAGGAGGAGGAAGAGGAGGATGAGGAGGAAGAGGAGGAGGAAGAGGAGGAGGAGGAGGAGGAAGGTGGGAGGCGGGTGGGAGGAGGGAGAAGGGAGGAGGGGGAGAGGTGAGGGAGGCGGATGATGATGATGATGATGATGATGATGATGATGATGATGATGATGATGATGATGATGATGAGGAGGAGGAGGAGGAGGAGGAGGAGGAGGAGGAGGAGGAGGAGGAGGAGGAGGAGGAGGAGGAGGGGGAGGAGGTGGTGAAGGAGGGAGGAGGGAGGAGGGCGGATGGAGGGGAGGAGGAGGCGGGAGGAGGAAGAGGAGGAGGGGGAGGAGGAGGGAGGAGGAGGAGGAGGAGGAGGAGGAGGAGGAGGAGGTCCTCCCAAAGCTTTCGCATGCCCGTGCCGTTTTTGTTCCCCTTGCAGGCAGCCGGTGAGCGAGCGCGTGCCGCGCTCGCGAGAGCGGGCCGGCGCGCAGCCGGGGCCCGCGCAGCCGCCCACGAAGGGCGCCCTGGCGGTCCGGGGCATGCTCCGCGCGGCGCAGGGCTCGGACATGGGCGCTTGAGGACGCCAGCGGCTTGCAGAAAGACGATATCACAACACACAGTCAGATTTACAGGGTCGGGAACTTTTGGCTTAGCGTGTCGCTCCGCCAGTTCTGTGGCCCACCACGCTTCGGCCGCGACGCGCTTTTCCACTTCCCAAGCGGAGCGACACGCTATGCGCTTGCACGGGGTAGCGTGTCTTCGGGGCCGCCGCCGCGACACGCTGAGCAAAAGTTCCCGACCGTAGGGAGGAGGACTGGGGAACGGCAAGGCGATGCAGACGCGATAGGCACGGGTGCGAGTTGCCATGCCAGACCCTGAGAGGGGGGCTCCCGTTCGAACGGGGATCCCATCCGACAACACACGCGCGCACACACACACACACGCACACGCACACGCACACACACGCACGCACGCACGCACGCACATACAAACACACACACATGCGCACACTCACACGCACACATACATACACACACGCACGCACGCACGCACGCACACACACACACACGCACACACACACACACGCACGCACATACGCACGCCCGCACGCACGCACGCACGCACTCATACACGCACACGCGCACGCACACGCACACGCACACGTACACGCAAACGCACATGCACACGCACACGCACGCGCACACGCACGCGCACGCGCACGCGCACGCGCACGTTCACACGCACACGCACACGCGCACGCACACGCACACGCACACGTACGTACGCAAACTCACACGCACACTCACATGCAAACGCCTCAAACGTACACGCACACGTACACGAACACGCTCGCGCGCACGCTCACACACACACACACACACACACACACACGCGCACCCACACCCATACCCACACCCACACCACGCACCACACACCACAAACCAGACACCACATACGACACACCACACACCACACACCACATGCCACACCACACACACAACACACACAACACCAAACACATAACAAGCAACGCACGACACACACCACACAACACACAACACACGCACACACCACCCGACACAGACACACCACACACCGTACAACACACAACACACAACACACACATCACACTACACACAACACACAACATACAACACACAACACACATCACACAACCCACAACACACACCACATAACACACAACACACACGCAACGCACAAAGCACAGCACACAACACACAACACAACGCACAACACACAACACACAACACACAAGACACAACACACAACACACACAACACACAACACACACCACACAACACAGCACACAACACCTAACACACCATACAACACACACACACCACAAGACACACAACACCTGACACATAACACACACCGCGCAAACCACAACACACAACACACCACACAACACAACGCACAGCACACACCACACAGCACACAGCACACAACACACAACACACAACACAGAACACACACAGCACGCGACACGCCACACATCACACACCACACACCACACAACACAGCCGACACACAACACAACACACTAACCACGACACACACCACACAACACGCACGGCACAGCACATCACACAACACACTACACACAAAGCACGCACAACACACATCATACAGCACACTCACCACACACGACACAATACGCAGACGCAACACACAACAGACGCAACACATAACACACACAACACCATACACTCAACGCACACAACACCATAACACACAACGTACACACAACACACACCACACAAACCACACACCACACACCACAACACACGCAACACACACGACAAAACCAACGCACAACACACACCACACAACACACAACACACAACACACACACACGCACCGCACACACCACAGCATGCAATGCACGCCACAGAACACACAACACACACCACACAACACACACCACACACCAAACAACACACAACACACACACATCACATCACACAACACACAACACATCAACACAACACACACGCACAACACACACAGCACGACACATAACACACACCACATAACACACACCACCCAAACCACAACACACACCACACAGCAGACAACACGCATCACGCAACACATCACACAACACACAACACACAACACACAACACATTCAACACACCACGCGCCACACAACACACTTCACAACACACGCCACACAACACACAACACACAGCTCATCCCACAACACACAACACACAACACACAACACACACGTCACGCACAACACACGCGCACGCACACACGCAACACACACGACACACAACACACAACACACACAGCATACACACACTACACAGACCACGCACAAGTCACACACAACACACCACGAACTGAAATGATCACATGAGGCTGTTTGTAATTGTCTGTCTCCCGCGGGGCACTTGGGTGCCTCGGGACCGTCAAAAGTCCACCACGGGATGAACTGCTGGTCCCCAGGAAGACGCCCAGATCGCTGGGGTCCACGCCATGAAAAAAGTCACGACGTCAGGGTTTGGGGGAGAGGGGGCAGGCCTCCTCAGAAGACGGCGGGGCTCCTCGGAAGCTCTGCGGACCTCTGATGAGTCGTCTCCATCTCCGGAGAAGGCTCAGAGAACTTCTGGGAACATCAGAGGCCCTCTGAGCCTTCCGAGAAGCCCCGCCACCTGTGCCTTCACCCCTGGGCTTGTGGGAGCCGACTAATGGAGAGGAGGTGTGCTGCCAAATAGTCTCCAAATGTTTAAAAGATGTGTCAACTATGTCTTAAGTATGAAAAAACCTTTTTGAAACATGTTTAAGAACATGCTTTATACATGTTAAACACATCTTTAATTCAATGATCGGATTGTTAGAGTGTCCATCGTCATGTCATCCGCAGCCCTGGGCGCGCCGCCGAAAGAAGGGGCGGCGTCGGAAGGGTCGGTTCGGCTCGGGCGTTTTTGTCTGCTCTTGGTTCAGACATTCTCTTCGTTTCTCGACGGTTCTTCCGAGGCAGCGTCAGGGGGATAGGCTCAGGGGTATGCAGCGGCCCCAGTCGCCCGCTGCTCGCCGATAGGGGTCCGATCATCCACTCCGCCCAGAAACATGCGGATTTGCTAGCGGGGGCGTGTCGCCGATCAATCGGCGATGTCGTGTCGCCGATTCCAGGTCGATGTTTCCCCTCCGGAGCCGGTCCCCCTTCACGGCTTTCCTTCGTTCTTCAGCCTGAGGATGCTTTCCGGCAGCTGCGCCTCGACGACGGCGTTCCGAGGGAGCTTGAGTCGTCGTGATAGCGGCCGTCGGAGTGGCCCGAGTGATGTGAGCCGAGTGCGCTGAGGACCTCGGTGTCCCGCAGGAAGAAGAGATTCCCGGATCTCTGGCGATGTGTTTCTGTTCAAGGCCGGCGTTGTTTCGGGATTTTGGCTTCTCCGCGGGCGTTCAAGTGGGTAGTGAGGACAAGGGTGTGTGCGAGTGTGTGTGTGTGTGTTTGTGGCCATCATGGTGATGGCCATGGCCATGATATCTCCCATGTTTCATGGCCCCTCTTCTTCTTTCAATGGGCTCCCTGGCCCCATGTCTGCGCACACGTTTCGGGCCATGACTTGCTGTATCCCCTCTCCTCTACGCCCCCCTTCGTGGACGCCCCCGACCGTTGGGGCCCGCTGCTGGGCCCCAGGGCCTCCAAACATCTGCCCAGGACGGAAAACAGCTCCCCCTGGGAATGGTTGGGGTTCCCTGTGGCGCGCATAGAGAAAAGACATATCGTCGGGTTTGTGGGATTGGCGGTGCGCCCAGGAAATAGGGGGCCGGCGCGCCAGGGGGGGCACCTTCCAAGAAGGTTGGCCGATCGTCTTACAGGGCAGGGAGGGTTCTTGGATGCCGTGCTGGCTCGTGGGAAGCCTTCTCAAAGGCCTGCGTGCCCTTCTGACAAGGCCCCCGCCTTCTAAGAAGCACCCCGTCTTCTTAGAGGATCGCCCATATCGCGCCACACACTTGCACAGGGGGGGGGGCGCGATCGGGGCGGGGAGGATCCCGTCCCAGCTCTTGGTCCGCAGAAGGCGTCGGTACGTATATACGGACCACAGTGCCTGGCCAGGGCCTTCTGGGCCCCAGGGTGGTGTATGGGCACTCCCTGGCCTCGGCCAGGAGGGCGTGCGGTCTGGAGTTTTGGCTCAGCGTGTCGCTCCGCCGGTTCTGGCCCACCACGCTTCGGCGCGGCACGCTGTTCACGCTCCAATTTAACACGTTCCGAGCGTCAGCGTCCCGAGCTTTTCCGAGCTTCACGCCCCGCGGAGCGGAGCGACGCGCTGTGCGCTTGCTGGTGATGGCGTGTCGCCGGGGCCGCCGCCGCGGCAGGCTACAGTCGGGGCCCTGAAGAAGGAACCCTTTTCGTTGGGGAGGGGCTCCGTGTTCCTTGATTGTTTCGCAGCTTGCCTCAGGTGTTCCTTAGGTTTTCGATGGGACATCGATCTTTAACTGATGGGAAAAAGGGGCCTCGTTCCTTATTTAGCGTTCCTTAGGTCAACGCCCCCACTGTAAGCGAAAGTTCCCGATCGCACACGCCATGCCAGGGCCCAGGCCAGCCCTGGCCGGCCCCCTTGGCACCACCCCTTTCGGCGCTGCCGCCGCCCAGGGCCGGCGGCCGCAGAAAGACAGAAAGACAGAGAGAGAGAGAGAGGGAGCCCTTTCAGGGGCCACGCCAGGGCGCTTGGCATCGCCCGGACGTGTGCACTTGTTCTCGGCGGGGACCATCGAGGAGCATTTTGGGCCACCTTGCGAAACATACGCGCACGAAGCCCTGCAAACGCACGGGGAATGGACGTCCGAGCGAGGGCGAGGGCGGGATACGTAGGCTCGAGCCTCGAGGTTCGAGGGGCTCGAGGTCCTCGGGCGCTTCCGTCCGTTCCCGGCGATTTTTTGTTGTCCTCGGTGTGCTCTCTCCAGCAGCTGCGCCTCGCCGAGCGCGCTCCAGGGGGCGCCCTGCTCGTCCCGAGCCCCGAGCGGTTGTTGGGGCGCGCCGGGTTGGGACCCGAAAGCGGAGGAGCCACGGCAGAGGGGGATGGGCTCTGGGCGGAATGCATTGATCCCGAAACGCCCATTCATCGCCAAGGGGGGCCAGATATGTAGTCCCTCCTCCGCCCAGGAGCGTGCGGATTCGCCACCGCGGGCCCCTCGCCGATCCGTCGGCGACGCGTCGCCGAAAATCGGGTCGGTGCTGTCCCCCCCCCCCGCCCTTCTGAGCCAGTCCCCCCCCCCCCCCCACGAGCGTTCCCCCTCGGCTCTCGCCGCGGTCGAGGCGCCGCATGCATGCGCGGGGGCCGCTGGCGACCCCAGCGGGCCCGCGGGTGCCCCGTGAGTCCGCGCGCGCGCGGCGCTCGGGCAGAGGCCCTGCTCGCCCGCCGCCAGGGGCGCGCGGCGGCGCCTCGGCGCGCAGCTGCGGGGCGGCGGCGCCCCGCCGCGCCTGCCTCCGTCCTCCGTGCCGTCGCTGGTGGTGTCACGTCGGGCCTGTCCCTCTACAGGAGGGGAATTCAAGAACAGTGCGAAAATTGTCGGGGGACCATTTTTTTGGTATTAGCGGCCTCTTTGGGGGCATGTTTGGAGTATGTTTTCGTTTTTCGTCCAATCCCCCCCCCTGTAGGGGGACAGGCCCGACCTAATGGCAGTGCGGCGGGGGAGGCGCCCGCCGCAAAGCCCGGCGCGCCCACGGGGTCCCCGAGATGCTCGTGGGAGGTCCATGGTCGGGTGTTGCTAGGAGAGCCCCTGGCCCAAGGTGCCCCTGGCCCAAGGTGCCCCTCACGAGGCCCAGAGGACCCCAGGGGCTCCAAAATGGGGCGAGAAGCTGGGGGCAACTTGGGCCACGGGCACTTGTATCAGCACCCGGCATGGGGGGAGCGATTTTGGCAGGAGACCGTTCCCCTATATTCCCTAACGACGATAACGGACCTGACCCGGGGGGAGAGGGGGAGGGGGAGGGGGAGGGAGCCGGTCACGTCACGATGCGCGCCGTCGCCGTATCTGATGCCTTATAAGAGCGGCTCCTTCACAGACGGCGCCGGCGCGACATGGTGGGGGGTAAGGGAGAGGTGCAGGGCCAGTCATGGGCGTTGTCGCGAATAGCACGCAGGTGCCTGCGAGGTGGCTGGCCTTCGCGAGAGCCGGGTGCCCACGCGGCCCAGCATGCGTTGCTGGCGCTCGGCCCCCCCGTGTGGACGGGCCCGCTGGCTTGGCGCAGCGTGTGTCCAGCGCGAGACCTCCGCAGTTTCCACATGCGGCCGCGAGCCGGAACTTCGGCCGAGTCCGTTCGGATCGACACGCCGTGGTCGGCGCTACGGGGGGAAGCGCCCATTTCGGCCAGGTCTGGGGGCCGGTAGGGGCCTACAGCCCTTGTGTTCCCCGCTTTCGCCCCTCTCCGCAGAGCGTCGGCGTCGAGGATCCAGATGCTCCCGCGCGGACGTGAATGCAGGCACCACCACGTGTGCTTCTGGCTTACTGGTGCGTGAACTCTGCCGAAGTATTCGCCTTGGGGGGAGCAGAACATCCACCCTCATAATGAACACCCCGGCAAGCGAAGCAGTTTAGCCAACGCACCCAAGGCAGGAATCGAACAAGGCAGGGCTGTTTTGTAAACGCCCAGCGTCGTTTAGTAAACGCCAGTTATCGGGGTCGGGGTGGTTCGTCCTCCCTTGAGAAGTGGGTCCTGAGGCAAACGGGTCCTGCGTTTATTCGCCGTTTTCGGGCCCTCGGATCCCTCCACGGGCCCCCACACTGTCAGAAAACGGCTCAGGATGAAAAGCGTGTCCTGTGGGCACCAGGGTACAGGACTCGTGTCCCTCAGGACCCGTTTCCCCCATGCCGAAATACAGTTCCGTGGGCCACCTGCTGTCAGGCTGGTTCGTTTGTTTGATGAATTTATTTTTGAGCACCGGCCTCCGCGCGCAAGTATTTTCAGAGGCCCTTTGGGCTCCCCGAGCCCTCAGCGCGGCCTCACACGAATTACGGGCAGGTCACTCTGTCGGGCGCGGCAGGGGGCCGTGGCGTACGATTCCACGGGTCCCTGGCGGCCTGGAGAGGGTAAGCTAGTAGGTGACGACGGCGGCCTGGATGCAAAGTCTCTAGCCGCGCTTCAGCAGCTTACGCCCGTGCAGCTGGGCGCTCTTCCGTGTCGCGTCGTGGTGCCGCCGCGCTGTGGTGTGATCCGGTGCTTGCGCTCAAAAAGCCGGGCCGCACCGAAGGGTCGGATGTTGCAAGAGGTGGCCCTGGCCCAAGGTGCCTCCAGCTTTGCGTGCCGTTCTGGAGCCCTTGGGGCCTTGGGGCCTCTCTGGGCTTTGGCTTTGTGAGGGGTGCTCCAGGGCCATGGGGCGTTCCAGAGAAGGCTTCCTCCTCGGCGCGTCTCGCCTTCGGCGGACGCACGCGAAATGCCAGCGGAAGCCGGTGGAAGTAGAGCGGTGGCGGCTTCGCTGGCGGCAGCCATCGGAAACGGCCGAAGGCTGGTTGAAGGCGGCGGGCGTAACAGACAGACGTCGCCATTTTTGGATTCAGGGTGACAGAAAGGCTCCCTGGAAGAGTGCGCGCCAGGGGCATCTACGGCAACACCTGGCAAGGGGTGGGGGTATTGGGACAGGGTGCGCACAACACAGACCCCAGGCAGGGCCATGTCGGGCCCCAGGATGGTGCACCGATTCTCCTGGCAGTTGCCAGGGGGGCGTATACGCCATGCCAGGACCCGGGATCTCCCCGGCCAGGTGCGGTGGTGGCAGTGGTGTGCGCCGGTGCCCTGTGCGCGTGCAAGACCTTGGCGAGCCTCGGAGCCCTTCCCATGCCCCCCCCCTGCCCTCTTCTCGGGGAGCGGACGGCCAGGGGTGGGAATTGGGAAGGGGGTGGTACACGCTGGTCGTTGAATGTAGGTATCTTGGGATATCCACATCCCAATCTACTCGAAGCGCCTTCCTACTACCATGATCGATCTGTGTTTGCCGCTTTTTGCGGATCTCTGGGCGGGCCCGAACCCAACCCACTTCATCCCCCTTCCTACTTCCTCTTTCTACCTACTTCATCCGACTGGCAGGCACGCATCTTGCTGCACGCAGCTGCTTTCGGCCCAGCAGCCCAGCAGGTTCCTCGACACGTGGTCGCTCCCGGCGCCAGAGGGCGCCGGGACAGCCAACTGCATACAGCCGATTCGCAACCCCCTGCCTTGTTACCCTCAGGAGGGAAAGAAACACACGGACACCATTCATCGTCGATCCCCCAGGAAAGCATGGGAAGATGTGGGAAGTGGGGGGGAAGACGAACACCCCGAAAACATGGGAAGATGTGGGGAATCCTGTGATCTCTGTGTGTATCTGTTTGTGTGTCCCGGGGCCCCTTTCAAGGCGCAGGCGCCGCACGGCTCCCACGCTCCGGGGAAGGCCCCGCGTTCGCCGCGCCGGCGGCTGCGGTGAGACGCGGCCGCACCTTCGCCCGCCGATGGCCGCACCCTCGTCTCGCCCCCCCCCCTCCCTCCCCGCCGCCGCCCTCGTCCCTCCTCCCTCGTCGTCGTGGTCGTCGTCGTTTGCGACCCAGGCTTTCCCTCTCTCTGTCTGTGTCCGTATCTTTCTTTCTTTCTTTTTTTTTTTCTTTCTCTCTCTCTCTCTCTCTGCGCAGAGGTGTGCTACACGTGTACATGTGCCTGTATAGGTATCTGCACAGAGCAGATATCAACATGTTTTGTTGTTGTTGTTGTTGTTGTTGTTTCTCTCTCTCTCTCTCTTTTCCGCCCCCCTGACGCCCTCTCTCTCTCTCTCTGTCTGCGTCCCCTTTGTTGTTCTCTCTCTCTCTGCCTCACTCTCTCTCCAGCACGTTCTCTATCACTCTCTATCTACCTCTCTCTTCTCTCCCTCTCTTCCTCCCTCCCTCTCCCTCCCTCTCCCTCTCCACTACCCTCTTCCCATTCCCCCCGGTGCTTCTCCTCTCTCGTGCTCCGTCCCGCCCTGCCCGCTCTTCCCTGCCTGCCCTCCCGGACACGCGCGGCCAGGGTCTCGAAATGGCAGTCCACGAACGTCCCAGCGCGTGGTCGTCATGGGCGCACCCGAGACTCCACGCCCTCCCTCACCGCCCACCAAGCCACCCCACCCCAACCCGAAGGCCCCGATTTGCCATCCGTTTCCAGTGGTTGCGGGGGGGGGTCGGGGAACAAACGAATCCAAACACATCTGAAGCCCTGACCACCCCAACCCGCAATTCAGGTCTTCGGGTCGGGCTGGGGGGGGTTTGATAGGTAGTCTCAGAACTGACAACGGCAGTAACCAGCGCGGGCCTCCCAAAGATTACGTTTATGCAGTTCTTTGCTCCTCCAAGACTACGGCGTGCGCACGGAGCACTGGACCGCAGGAGCTGCGACCTCGCTTGCATCACGTGGCTGCACATGGCCGCGCCCGACGAGTGTGCTCAATCGGGAGAACTGTGTCGCCATCGAACAGCCACGCGCAGAGGCGGGTGGGAGGAGGTATAATGGCTCCTTAGAAGCACCCCTGCTTCTTGGAAGGCGCTAGCCAGATCTATAGATGTAGGGCCGACGCCTTCTGAGAAGCAGTTTCCTTCTACGAAGCCCCCCCCTCCCTCCACCCCCGTGCGCGCGCCGCCAAACGCGCCCCCTGGCGCCCAAACGACCCCAGCGTCCCGAGTGGGCTGCTGATGCGCCAGGGCGTTTTTGTTGCGATGCCATGGCCTCGTCCGCTCCGCCCGCCAGGGGGCCTGGGCAGCTGCCCGCAGGAGCCTCGCGTTCCGTTCCTCCCTTGCGAGCTGTTTCCCCTCTTGGCCATACAGTGAACTCGCATAGTGAGGATGGTCAAGCTTCCCAAGGGTACCCTTGCATCCTTTCCCCTTCGGCCCATCCTTGGCCACTTTCGCTGGCCGCGCCTCGCTCGAAAAGCTTCGAAACGGCCTTCCAAGGCCCTCGCATCCTTATTGCGCATCCTTATGATACGGGTTGACTGTAGCGCGCGTTATGCCCCTTCCTCTCCATATAACGTACCGCTTCCCCTCCCAAGTGTGTCCCCCGCGGCACTGCCGCAGTGCGCCCAGCAACACTCACGGCGGAAGGTGGTGACGTTACGTTATGTCCCACCTTTACCCCCCCATAACGCCAATGATCACCGCGAGTAAAACAATCTCTTCCCTTCCCTACTCCCTGTGATCAGACGTTGTCAAACAATGCGGCAGCATTCGGCAGCAAGTCATGGGAGCCTTATACGTACCGTCGTAACTTCGTCTTTCGAGTGCCCTAGCGTTGATTTGCGTCTGATCATCGATGAGATAGCGGCGTCGGTTAGCGTCCGCAAGAGCCAACAAGATGGTATGGGGGGCTCCCATGAGTTGTTACCGAAGCATAGCGAGAAATCGCGACCGCAGCCCTGGACTCTATCTCTCTGCTGCGTCTTCCGAGCGGGGTCGATCCGTGAGGGTCCCCAGGCCTGAACCCGAGCGGAAACGCCCTTTGTGAAAACATGCAACGCCAAGATCTCAGGGTCTTCCCTTCTTCCCTTAAATCGGGCATGTCCCTCTACAGGAAAACAGCTCAAAAGTAGTAGAACAAATCTGCTGGGGACGATTATGGATTAATCTTGACTGTTTTAGAATAGTTGTTTTGCACTTGTTGTTATTGTTCGTCCACGATCCGCCTGTAGGAGGGCATGCCCGACCTAATCCTTCCCGCTGCCGTTCTGTGCCTCTCGGGCCTGTGGCCCCTGCGCCAGTGCCGGACGGGGGCACCAGCACCCCTCTCTCCGATCCAAGGCCGCGCCCAGCTGGGGTGTCCCGTCCCGCCAGCTTCCCTCTCGGAGGGGCTCGATGTATACACCACGCCGTTTGGTCGGCCTGGGAGCCGACGAGCTCGTCGAGGAATGCGGTGCATTGACTCGAAGAGGCGATGAACATGATTTCTCGGATGGCCGCGAGAATTTCTTGCAACGGCGTTGGGCTCTCCCGGCGGCGCCTCTGGCGCCGATCCGATACATCCTCGCGGACCTCCGAGACTCCATGTTGACGGTGTTTTTTGTCCCTGTAGCGTTGACATTCTAGCATCCCACAGGTTGTGTAGCTGGGGCGTCTATATACAACCGAGTACCCTGGCCGACCAGACAATTTGGTGCAGTTGTCGAGCCTTGCCCCCACCCTCGCTCACCATCCCTGCCCCGAAAAATGCAAAGTGCACTCTCTACGGAAAAGATTGGACCATGCGCGGGGGGGCACGCAATCATTTTATGGTGTCTCTTGACAGGGGCGGTGGGGGGGCAGACCTCCTCTCCTGGCCCCCCTGCCCCTCAGATCCGGGCGCCGCAAGCATCGCAGCGGCTGTTTCGTTGCCCTGGGTCAGTCACCGCCGGCCCCGGGCAAGCGGTCGAGATATCCGGGGATTTGGCCCACGTCACATCATGATTTGCGACGCCGGAGGGAAGGGACCCTCGACGCCGCGCTGTTGTTCACAACCTGGGCCCCCGAAGGACCCGACCCCATCCTTGGGACCAGCGGGTCATCCCTAGCTATGTCTTTGACGGCCCCAGGTCCTGGCGATGGCTTTCCAGATGCCGAGATCGGGTGTCGCTAGGAGTGTCCCTGGCCAAAGGCGCCCCCAGGATTCCCCAGGAGGCCCCCAGGGCCTCCAGAGCACCTCTCGCGAGACCCAACGGGGGCCCCCCGGGGTGCCAAAGGGGAGCGAGGAGCTGGGGGCACCGTGGGCCAAGAGCACCTCAGCAACCCCGACGAGAGTGCCGGGCCAGACGACAGGGGGGGATTGGGAAAGGGGGGTGCTACGGAATCTGCTGCATGCAGCTGGTTTCGGCCCCACCGAGGGGCCCATTCCTCGAGACATGGCCGCCTCCGGCGCTGGGAGACGCCGGGAGAATCAGCTACGCGAGCCGATTCTCCCCCCCCCCCCCCCTTGCTATCCCCCCCTTTCGCCCGGCCCGAGAGAGGCCCAGCACTTGCCGTCGTGCCTGGTCCCACGGCCCCCCCCGCGGCGATGCTGGGCAGAGCGTGTCCGCGCGACCCGTCCGGGGGCGCAGCCTGGCCAGCAACGTTCAGGAGGGAAGAACACACACACACACACAACACAACACACAACACACACACAACACAACACAACACAACACAACACAACACAACACAACACAACACAACACAACACAAACACAAACACACACACACACACACACACACACACAGACACAATTAATCGT